CGCTGTGACGAGCCCCGTCATCGTGCTCACACCACCCACGGAGAGATCGCCGGCCGTCAAGATGACATCACCGCTTGCCAAGGTCACATCCCCTCCGGTCACGCTGACGCCCGCAGCAGTGGTGGCAAGCCCCGTCATCGTGCTGACACCACCCACGGAGAGATCTCCGGCCGTCAAGATGACATCGCCGCTTGCCAAGGAGAGATCCCCGGCCGTCAAGATGACATCGCCGGTTGCCAAGGTGATCATCCCCGCCGGTCACGCTGACGCCCGCAGCGGCCGTGGCAAGCCCCGTCATCGTGCTGATGCCACCGACGGAGAGGTCGCCGGCTGTCAAGATGACATCGCCGCTAGCCAAGGTGACATCTCCGCCGGTCACGCTCACGCCCGCAGCAGCCGTGAGCAAGGCCGTGTTGACCGTGAGACCGTTGGACGCTGTGACGAGCCCCGTCATCGTGCTGACGCCACCCACGGAGAGATCGCCGGCCGTCATGATGACATCGCCGCTTGCCAAGGTGACATCCCCGCCGGTCACGCTGACGCCCGCAGCAGCCGTGAGCAAGGCCGTGTTGACCGTGAGACCGTTGGACGCCGTGACGAGCCCCGCCATCGTGCTGACGCCACCCACGGAGAGATCGCCGGCCGTCAAGATGACATCGCCGCTTGCCAAGGTGACATCTCCGCCGGTCACGCTGACGCCCGCAGCAGCCGTGGCAAGCCCCGTCGTCGTGCTGACGCCACCCACGGGAGAGATCGCCCGGCCGTCAAGATGACATCGCCGCTTGCCAAGGTGACATCTCCGCCGGTCACGCTCACGCCCGCAGCAGCCGTGAGCAAGGCCGTGTTCACCGTGAGACCGTTGGACGCTGTGACGAGCCCCGTCATCGTGCTGACACCCCCGACGGAGAGATCGCCGGCCGTCAAGATGACATCGCCGCTAGCCAAGGTGACATCTCCGCCTGTCACGCTGACGCCCGCTGCAGCCGTGAGCAAGGCCGTGTTGACCGTGAGACCGTTCGACGCCGTCACGAGCCCCGTGAACGTGCTAACACCACCGACGGAGAGATCGCCGGCCGTCAAGATCACATCGCCGCTTGCCAAGGTCACATCCCCTCCGGTCACGCTGACGCCCGCAGCAGCCGTGAGTAATGCCGTGTTGACCGTGAGACCGTTGGACGCAGTGACGAGCCCCGTCATCGTGCTGACGCCACCCACGGAGAGATCGCCGGCCGTCAAAATGACATACGCCGGTCGCCACGGTGATATCCCCGCCGGTCACACTGACGCCCGCAGCAGCCGTGGCAAGCCCCGTCATCGTGCTGACGCCACCCACGGAGAGATCACCGGCCGTCAAGATCACATCGCCGGTTGCCAAGGTCACATCCCCTCCGGTCACGCTGACGCCCGCAGCAGCCGTGAGTAATGCCGTGTTGACCGTGAGACCGTTGGACGCTGTGACGAGCCCCGTCATCGTGCTGACGCCACCCACGGAGAGATCGCCGGCTGTCAAGATGACATCGCCGCTTGCCAAGGTGATATCCCCGCCGGTCACACTGACGCCCGCAGCAGTGGTGGCAAGCCCCGTCATCGTGCTCACACCACCCACGGACAGATCGCCGCCCGTCAAGATGACATCGCCGCTTGCCAAGGTGACGTCTCCGCCGGTCACGCTCACGCCCGCAGCAGCCGTGAGCAAGGCCGTGTTGACCGTGAGACCGTTGGACGCTGTGACGAGCCCCGTCATCGTGCTGACGCCACCCACGGAGAGATCGCCGGCCGTCAAAATGACATCGCCGCTTGCCACGGTGACATCCCCGCCGGTCACGCTGACGCCCGCAGCAGCCGTGAGCAACGCTGTGTTCACCGTGAGACCGTTGGACGCCGTGACGAGCCCCGTCATCGTGCTGACGCCACCGACGGAGAGATCGCCGGCCGTCAAGATCACATCGCCGCTTGCCAAGGTGACATCTCCGCCGGTCACGCTGACGCCCGCAGCAGCCGTGAGCAAGGCCGTGTTGACGGTGAGACCGTTCGACGCAGTCGCGAGGTCTCCGAAAGTACTCACTCCTGAAACGCTAAGCGTCCCCGATTGTACCAGAATGTCGCCATCTGTCAAGGTCAAGTCACCTAAAGTTATTGATATGTCGCCGTCGGTGATCGTCATGTCTCCCTCATCGATCGTAGCTCCCACCGTTTCGATGACGAATCCTCCGGCTACGACGCGGAGTCCGCCGGCTGTTATGGTTGCTCCGCCGGACACAACTTCCGTCGGACCCGTAATACTTGCTCCCCCACTTGTCACCGTCACCGATTCCGAGCTCGTGATGCTGCGGATCGTGAGCAAGCCAGCCGCGGCGGTAACGTCCCCCGCACAAATTATGTCGTCGTCGACCGTCACAACAGCCGAACTCGTGACACCGGCGATGGTCAAGTCTCCGAGTACTGCTGAAATGGAGCCATTCGTGAGAACGAGATCCCCCTTGCTTATGAGCTCGTCGCCTTCCGAAATGATTAAGCCGCCGGTGACAATCGTGGTCTGAAACACGCCGGGGATGGGAGGTAGCAGGCCAGGTTCGAGGGCGGGGGCGGAAGAGGTAGTTGAGCTCATCGTACACTTTGACGAAGATTTGGGGAGGAGGGGTACGGGAGCGGTTGCGTGCGGCCGCCTTTTGCGGTGACGGTACCATTTCCTCCACAATCCTGCTAGCGACACATTACCAGAACCCGCACGCATCAATTATATCAGCGCCATTGTTTCGAAATCAGTCCATGTTCATTCGGGGTCCCGTCCAAACACTATGCTGTTCGGGCAGGCAGCTTAACGAAAAGGGAATTTAGTACCTGGTACACAGGTCACGAACACCCACTACTTACATGGTGTGTTTGGGTACCTGTGGGTACGCTACGGCGTATAGGGTGTATCGGGCGCACAACATCTTGCCACAGGGGTTTTTGACCTTGGTGTTTGCCTATCACGCTTCCGCGTACCCCTTGCTTGCCACAGAAAACCCTGCCCAACTTTGTGGCAAAGAGTACTGGCGTACACCCAACACAAAGACAAGGCTAAGTCTGTTTGTGGGAGGACAATATCAGTTGCACCCCGACTTACTTGACCGTCTCCTCGAACAGAGAAAACAACATCAGAGCCGTCCGTTGCTTCGATGTGGTTGTAGGTGGTCGAGTCCGACGTGGTTGCAGTAGTAGATATTACATTGGCGAGAAACCCATTACCTAGCGATTACGGTAGCGTGCAGGATGGGCTGGGTTAGGGTTGCTAAAGTTTTGCACCGGGCGATTAAGGACTTAACAGTTGAGAAACAATGGCTCATGTTTGGCATGGACACGAAAAATCCAGGAAGAAACACACCTCAGGGGTGGATCCTACGCTAAACTGTATAGATTGACCAATGCTCGACGGTGGTAACGTATTGAGAAGTTGAGCCTCGACCCCAACTTGACATTTCTTAAAAGCGGGCTCTAACGAACTGTATTCCCGTGGCAGCACAATCCTTAAGACGCACAAAGAAGGAGTTGACTCGACTACTCGGTGTTGCACGAAAGTCCGTTTTAAACAACATGGGTTCCAGACGGATTGATGGGGAGACGAAGAAACGTTTGGCTGTGGTCGGTGTGAAGCTTACTGCAAAATTCGGATTCCAATTGGCTTGCTACAAAAGATTATCGACTACAGGAACTGGTCCACATAAATACGTTTCGTGATTGTTATGCTGTGGATGCGGGAGACAGCTATTATAATGTGTTTCGTAAGAGCAAACAAACCCACTGACTGGGGTTACCTATCCGTACCACGTACTTGTTGCAGCCACGGCGAGCACATCATCGCTCGTTGACGATCTGGAGATGCTGGCGCCGTCCTCGGTCACAGCCAGCCCGCCGCTCTCTACCTCGAACCCCCCTTGTTCAACAACGAGTCCCCTGTCATGGAGTTCGTCACAAAGAATCACACGCGGAAGCCATTTTCGTTGGTGTCGGAGAGCCACGAACCACTGGGGACAGGCAGGAAGGCACGCTCTCAATTGAGTCCTGGGAGCTATGTCCAATATTGCAGACAAGTTCTGGATTGGTCAAGACCATACTTGGCTCAAACACGGCCGGCAATATTAATTGTGCCATCTGCAGGGCAAGCGTGGCAATCGATCGGCTGCTGCTCACCCGGCTGTGATGACGAGCTCGGCGATCTCGATGTACCCGTCTCCTCTAACCTGGAAAACCACCGTGTCTCTAGCAGTGCATTGTATGAAGTTGAAATCGGAAGCAGCCTATGCACGAACGCGTTGTTGGGACGGCAGAGTGGAAGGCCGTCAGTTTGTGGATCGCTCTCCACCAATTTGTTATGTAGGCCATCAACAAGCTCATTCGTTAAATGGGGACGCGTCTCAAGCGTAATTGGCACAAACACACACATCGTTTGCCCTCCTCGCCGTGTTCTGTCCTTCTCTTGAACCTCCCGGGGCCTTTTCCGCGCCAAACCCAATCTCTGTGCCATGACATCCATCTCCCTATCGTTGCCCCTCATCGTACCCCTTGCTCTAACCACTTTGCCGCGCTCACGTTGTGGCATATAGTACCCTAGTGAAAACCGTACACTCTGCTCTTTCCAGCTGTTTGAGCAAAAAGGAATCTTAGTTATCCCAACAGCCCACCAGGAACTTTTTACTCTCCACAGGTAGCACGTATGCCGCACTTTGCGAGGGGATAGTCATCTACAGTTGTTGGGGAGATGGGACCCTTAACAAAGGTCTCCTCCACATTGACGGCGGACTGGTTGGGAACACGACCCATTGGAATTACCTTCGTGAGCGCCTTCCATGAGCAAAAATGTGAACTCTGTACTGTTGTTGCTTGGCCCTCTCGGTGTTCTCGTGTCGGCCATCTTCAACCAAGTGAGAAAACGTATTTCATCCAAAAAGAACCGATCCAACACGTCTCACCCGCTTGTCGCTAATTGTTTCGAGCACGTTGCCTATGTAGTCAAGGCCCGAGGCGAGCAGGCTCATGCCGGGCATCGCGTTGCTCGCGCTGTACGTGTAGCTCGAAATGCTGCAGGCGGCCCCGGTGTATCCCTCCAAGCACGTGCACAAACCGGTCCCGAAATCACACAAACCACGACGAGCGCAGTACTCGTACTCTGGATGATGAAGTGTGGGGAAGGGATAGACAGAGAAAATGGGAGAATCTGTCGAATTTTCCCGCCGCGGTCTTTACGAAGGTCACACGATGCGCCAGTGCCCCACAAGACTATTCGGTCGCAAGGTCAACAGTGCGGCTACAGGTTCAGCGATGAAAAGCCTGGTGGTTGTGTTGTCCTACTACTTAGACTCAAGGAAGGACTCTAACTTCCCAAGTCAAGCCGTTGCGCGCCAAACGAGAGGTGGGAAGCAGCCGAACCCATTCGGAATTCTGCATGCGGTTTGGAAACAAACGTCGCCGGTCTGAAGCCATCACCAGACCCCTCACACTGCTTTCGGTCCTACACCCTTTCCTTAATATCTTCTCGCGGAGTGCTGTTCGGAGGTGGGCAACGGATAAGCTTGATCGGTACGTCGGTTCAAATGGATCTCGGTCGTGATTCGTCCACACACCCGTGACGTAGCCATCACCCGGAACGGCACGGTGTTGGTGACTTTGTTTGCCTCATGTGACCTCACCCTTAATGTTGGTATTCTTGATGTCGGTGATGTTACAGTCCACGAGGTTGGCGGGGTACACTGCGCTGACATCGCACGTAAACGCCGACAAGTCGGGGTTTCCGGTGTGGTAGAACACGTTGTTCTCGACCGGGACAATCGGGAAGCTCGAGAACGTGAGGTTCATTTGTAGTCCGCCTGGAGTCGGGGGAGAAGGCGCCATCAGAAGCAGCAGCAGCAGCAGCAGCAGCAGCCATAGGGGGAAAACGATATCACGGACGAGACGTTTGCCCTGCACTTGAAACTACTGGCATGGACAACACGAGGTATTCATTTGTCACTGCTGTCATGGTCGGGCAACCGTACGCGGCAACATTTATCATCAAAGGGAGAAAAACGCCTCGCCCCACCCCTTCATGCACCGCAGCTGTATCGACGAAAACCTCCAACGAAGGAGAAGGCCATCACTGCCACCTTTCAACAACTACGAAACATCGTAAGTCATCAAACCTGCCTCCACCCTCAAGCACACGCAATCTCACGCTCGTGGCTTCACGCTTGCTCTTACTCGGGCTGTTCAGACCGTGAATCGTTGTTTGTCATCACCGCATCACTTGGGTGGGGGCGCCGTGAAGCTCTACGCGTCACTTGGCACAACCCAACGCCCTGCGCCACTACTTGGTGAGGTCACCATCGTCACCTGCGGTGATTACTGTCCCTCCGTCAAGTACGGCATCGTGCAGAAAGAATGTTGGGTTCAGGGGTAGGCGTCATATTCGACAAAGGCGAACCATTAGTCTACAGCACAGTCAGCAGCTGACTGTGCAGTAGTCTAACGGTTCGCTTTCTTTATCGCATACGTCACCCGTGCACTAACAAGATCGCTTTCTCTGTAGGTGGCTTATGCTTCAAGAAACAACGGACGAATATACCGTGGCTGCTTCGGGCGCGATGTTTGTTCGCGCATGTTTTCCCCGACTCGTGAAACTACCGACGGGTAATACAAAACCACAGGGAGCCTGCGTCAACGAGCCATGGTTATTCAACTCAACCGCAGTAGCAAGAGAAGGTTCAACATGGTATGACTTGAACACCTCCTGCCACATGCCACATTCAAACTTAGTATGTTGTGCCGACCTAAACGCTTCCCGAACTTTTACGAGTGGTGTGCTGCCAGCATTTCCCTATTTTTCTCGTCTGCTCAAAGCGCAAACGGGCTCTCAAGTGCATCCACGGGAGAAAGCACGACGCTTAAAAATATGCTCTCCCTGCCGGGGTGACAGAAGCACCGCCCCTTCGTCCTTTGATCTTGATTCAACACCGAATAACAACATGAGGAAGATCACTGCCATAAACGAAACGGAGTGTGGCGGCTGATGGGCTTCCCACAACACTGCCCAAGGAGGCGTTGCCTCCACCGTCCCCTCTTTGCCTCTGCTGCGTCCCTCACCGTTGGCAATCGCCGCAGTCTCGCAGACGACGTCTTCCACGTTCTCCAGTCTCTCGAAAGCCGCCTCGCAGAGGGAGTCCGCTACCGTGCTCGTGAAGATGCTCGTGCTTAATCGCGTAGAGTGCCTGCGGTTGAGAGCGAGAGAGTTTCCCGGGAAACAATAACACCGTGGGCGCCAAACGGAGAAGCGCCAGACAGACGGCTCGACCTCAAGGACGGCGAGCACGAATATGGGCATGGTTTAACACCGACTCCTATGGTAATGGTTGGGACCTGTGACGACCATGTGCTTCCCGACACTGGGAGGGGTTTTGGTGTAACACTCAGCGTTCCCCGGGTACACAGTCTGCACCTCGCTTGTTGTTTCGAGGCTTTCCAGATTTGGATGGCCTTTTGAACGCACAAGAACCGGCTGGTGCGGCGCTCTGCAAGCGATGTCGTAGAGTGCCTGCAGCGGTTGTGCGCTGCCAAATGAAACACATCACCATCACCAGCGCTAAGTCGTGGCAGTCAGAGTGATCTTCATGGCAATGTCTTCACCACCGATGCTACAATGTACGGGGTTGGGCAACCAGCAAGCTTTGGCGGGTGCCCTACAGGGCGTCAACGGAGCTTCTTCTCTTCAGACTCACCCGTTGAACGTGAACGCGAGAGACCCGTTCATGGAGTCGCTGTGGTCCGTGCCGACGCTGATGAAGATCGACCGATCGTCTTGGTTTACCGTCACTGGATCATCAGCCTTTGGGCACATTCCTGGCAGCATCCGTGACCACCACGAGACGTCAAACATTATCGACCGTCGTGGGGGGGGGTTCCAACATGTTTGGGGGATTCTTGTTCGTTATCCGAGAGGGGGGAGATGGGAGATGTGCGCGAATCTTGTTTTTTTTTAGCCGGGAAGGGTTCGTGTGGTATCCTCAAAGCTCACCACTCTTCTCTGGACTAGGCACGGGTTCCGAAAGTTTCAGCACGACGCTTCGCATCACAACACAAACATAAAACGACGGCACATCAGCCTTGCCTAAGGTGTTGTTTCAGGCAGTGCCCTATAGCTTCAATGCTTAAGTCACAGGCCTTGATGGCGCACCACATGGAGCTGGAGCTAACAAAACGAGCTTGCGATTCAAGCACCTACAGCAGTAGCGGTCCGATATATCGCAATCGCGAATAGCGCGGTTCTCGATGTATCGCGTTAAAAGTTCCTTGGCACAACAACCTAGCCTGCTACTAAATTGCTGTTCAGGGACCTTCCCCCTATAGCGCGGGCCCCGACATAACGCGGTGATTGTTTTCCGTCACTACACGGCGATAATATCGGGACCACTTCTGTATACTATGAAATTTGCTACTTACTATTCGAACAATCGGCCCCAAAGTGTCCCTGGTCGCAGTAGCACGCTGTCGTGGACTGTGCGTCCCAATTGCCGTAGGACGGCCCAATACCGTCCCCCCCCGTCCCCGGCTGCGTGTAGTCAGGCCCGTAAAAACGCGACATGTCCGCAATCGTCATGCAAGTCCCGTGCCCAGAACAGTCCCCGGGGCATCGAGCTGGTTGTTTGTTCATGTGTTTTAAGGCAAGGCACCGCAGCGGCAAGGACGAAAGGGGGGGGGGGGGGGGGGGGGGG